TCTTCAACTTTTTGATATACACACTGTTGTGACGCAAAGCATAGTTTGAGGAATACTTCTTCGAATTGAAGCAACAAGACCTCTAATCAAATTTTAACTTTAGGAAGAGATCTGAGCATCCATTTGCGAGCAGAGTCTTCAATCTGTTTTATAATGGACGTTATTTATGTACAACCCCAATAAGAAGAGTAAATATGAAAAAAATTATTTCAAGATTTTCATAATTAATTTATTTATGCCTTTTGGTATGATTTTGTTTGGAATGTAAATTAATTTAATTATTAAATCTTAATGTAAGTAATGAACGGAATGAACGAAAGTCAGCACGAGAAAATTATCTGATTTACTGTGAGAATCAATTCTCATTATCTTGACATCCATAAATAATAAGTCATCAAAGTTCATTTCCTATGACAGCTACTTGTAGCTTCATCACATCGTAAAAAATGAATGTTTTATTCTCTTTCAATGTTGTTTATTTCTTCATATTTTCATTCTCTCTCTTTTGCCTAACATGCTGAGGTCATTCCATCATAATCATAAATATGAGATTTGTCATGTTTCAGTTTATTGATAACACCCAAAAAAAGAATAAAAAAATCTTTATTTTCTCACTAAATCTTTCATGGCAATTATTGGTTTTTAATGTTTGTTTATTCGCTTTAAAAAATCACCAAAAAGTCACGTTTCGGAACATGTTAATCCATATTTCTCTTTTATATTCTTCAGTTTCTCAATTCTTTATCGCTTCTCTTGCTTGTTGTTTAAGAGGCTCTTTTTTGAAATTATTTGTGTGCATGTCAGCATGTGTGGATTGATTAATCAATCATGATCAATGATTTTGCTTTGAAATTTTTAAGCAAATTTTTTTTTCAGAGATTTAATAAATCGATAAAGATAACAAAGGTTTGTGACTTGTCGTACGGCTGCAAAATTATTTAATAATCAGTAGGTACTCATAAACTCATTTTTAAGTACGTCATTTATGAATCATTTGACAATATAACCTCAATTCTTCGCTATTAGTATTAAAACTATGAAATTCACAATTTCTCATTATATAAAGGCATTCCAAATTTTTCAAATTCTGCTTAAATTTTAAAAGTTTGTTCAATCGACATAACCTGCCTTGATACATTGTTTTATAGCTCTGTGTAATATTTTCCTTGCCACAAAGTAGATTTTGATATTTATTTGATTTGTAGTTATTCATCCAGAAGTAAAATGAAAGCAGCAAGAAGAAGAAGAAGGTGCTTAACTGCTGTATGCGTTATTAACTTCATCAAACATCTTTATGAAATTTTTTACATTTGTTTGTTCATCACAAAAGTCGCAATTTCTCACGTTTTCTTTGTTTTTCAAGTCTCGGTTTGTGTGTTTTAGCAGTTGAGATGTAAGCAGCAGTTGAGTGTGTTTGATGTTGATAGTGAAGTTGTGCTTTCATTGTAGCTATGGAACAGACTAATTTTGGCTCATTTATTTTTAATTTTCTTAATACAAAAAATAATTTTCCTAAAGAAGAATTAAAAGAATTCATGCTGAAGAATTTTTTCGAAAAGCATGCCTACGCAAAAATTCAGCACACATTTCTCCAATAAATAAAGACACAGACAAGAGGGAGAAATAAAGGAGAAAATAAACTTTTCTTGTTTCCATCGAAAATACGATGAATGAAGTTTTTAATAAGTGTAATACCTCACTCCATTGATGCATAAAAAGCCCTCCTAATATACCTTTTTACCAATGTTTATAGCCAAAGAAATGTAAAACTTTTCCATTTTTCTGCTACCCGTTTTCCATATTGAATTTTCTATTTAAAATCTATACACGATACTGGAAAATATTCTTACTGACATCATAAAACATTGTAATTTATGTTCTGTGCAAATGGAAAGAAACTGAAGCTACATCTATTGTTAAATTAGGGATTTATAATCAATTTCTACAAATTACCATTCATTTTCATATCTAGAATTAATTTAAGAATAGCTTAAAATAATCAAATCAATTCTTCGAATAAAAATTAATATTGTTTAAGGAACTTGCGGATTGAAAGCAAACAAAAAACTTTTTCCATGTTTGAACTGTTCCATCCTTTTCTATATTTTTATCAAATCAATATTACTTTACTTACGATTCCCATTTGTATATTCATATGCCTTTCATACATACTTGTAAGCAGTATTGTAGTGAGGTTTTTAAGTGTACTGGGGGGTCCTTGATTTGAACAGGATTTTTCTGGAACAAAACACCTACTCCAATCAAAGACCCCTCAGTACCAAAACTTCTGAAGAATTCCGAAAACTATAAAGCCCTACCCGTTGCCTTTGATACGCCACTGCATATAATAAAGCTATAAAAAACTTTCTCTTCTCTTGTTATTGTTTAATCAACTGAAAATAGGAGAAATCGGAAGTTGGAATTTTTTTGTTGAAATTGCTTAAGTAGCTATACACGAATATTTTCCCGTTTCTTATTTCTTTCTCATTTTATTGGCATACAAGAAAATATCAAAGAAAGTAAATAACAAGTAGCATGAAATGAGAATATTTTGTTGTATTATAATGATGTTTGTTTTTTTAGTCACTTCCGATAGCTTTCAATCAATCTTACCATTAGAACAAGTCATCATTATGCTGATTATGTATTACAGTGTCGGAACTTTTGTGTACATAGTGATATTTGAAAAGCTTAAATTTTTTCATTACTTACTGTAACCACGCTCCTATGTGGAACTTAGGTTCCAACAAAAGGCTTTTCATTTGACTTTGTTGCTGGTTTACCTTATGTTGCTTTCTTTGTACATGTTGATTTCGGGAATGGTTGGCTGTAAACCTCACCATCGCTAGCCTGAATGTGGGGCTGCCACCCTACAAGCGAGGTTTTTTGGACAGACTTTTAATCTATCCTCTAAAGTACTTATTCTGGACATTTGGTCAGCTTCGGAGTCAGATTTCGGCTTTGCCAATTCCTTTTTTTATGTAAACTACCAACATTCAGATTTGAAAATATCTTTTAAATTCTACAATTTTATGACGCAAGAGTCTCAGAATAAATGAAACTGTTGACATTTAAAAACAACATCCATGACATCATCAAATCAAAAATTGGCATTAAAACGAGTTTAATTACATTAAGAAAAAGTAAGGAATCAAATAAACATTTTGAGATACATTTTTCATGATTGAATAATTTGACATGATATCAACATCATGAGTTGATTAAAACTTTTTCATTACCTTCACAAATATTTAAAATAGAATCAAAAGTGAGTCTCGTTATGATGAAAATCTTTAACTTTTCTATTGTTGGAAGAAAAATTGATTCAAATTGAATTGAAAAGTTTGAGTTTTAATTATGAAGAATAGGAAGAAGAAGTTTTGACTGATGATACTGAATGATAAGAACAAATAATAAGGAAACATTGTTTACCGTTGTGCAATCAAACACACAAGTGTCTTCTCTTTCCTTTTTGCTGTCTAAACACAAAAACACGAAGAAGCAAAACTTTATCATTCAACTTTGTCAATTTTCACGTCTCATAATTTCATCAACTCACTCAGGAACTGAGTAAAAGAGGAAAAAAATCCATTCTATGTGCTATAATTTAGTTCAACGATGAAACTAAACTAGAAAGTGCTGAATGAAAACTTTTGACAGATTTTGTGGCAACAATAAACACTTCCTCTATGTATATATATATACATTTATCGCATTCTATTTAGTTCATTATTTTTGAACTTTTGAGTTTATTTGCTTGCACGTATCTTCCGTGTTTGTATTTTCATGCTGTGAAGTTTTGTTATACTTGCTGCAAATCTTTAATTAAAATTGTCATGAGAATATCGCATTTCTCACGGGATGAATGAATTCAATGAGTGAGTTTGATAATTTTTTTTATGGTTAAATGTGATGACAGCTAATTAAAGTGAGCAAGCAAATCATGAAAACGATAAATTTTGGAAGTGGATTGAACATCACGAAATTCGTTAATTAAAGATAAGATTTGGAAATTTCCATTTTAAATCCAGTTCAATGCGAATTTGTAATTTGAAGGAATGATAACAGATTCTACACGAGTTCTAAAGTTTTGTAATTATTCTGAATGATTTCATTAGGGGCCGTTCTCTTATTACGTCCATCAAAAACATGACCCCCTTCCTCCCTTTGTCACAAAATTTCCTTTATTTGAGTTGTCACAAAATCCTTGACCACCCCCCCCCCCCCCCTAAATTTTTGACGTCATAAGTGAACGGCCCTTTATTCTGTTGATGAAATTTTAATTGGAACAATTAACAGGAATTAAACTTTTAGCAAAATCATAAGTCAATGAAGCGAAAAATTAAGAATTTACCATTCTATCATTTAAAAGTAAAACATCCAGAAATTAAAAAAAAATATTTTTTAACTCACGTCGATTCCTCTTTAAGAATTGATTCAGAAGCATTGATGTAAAAAGTGTGGAAAATGTCGCATCAAAACTGACGACAGATCGTTCTCAATTTCAACAATAATGTCATGTATGTGTGTATACATACTCACTTTACGTCGTAAAATACAATAAATAAGCTTATTGAATTCTTTACATAATCATGTCATAGAAGATTGGAAAATGGATTGAAAAATTGAATGTAATTTTTTTTCTCTCTTTCAATGACAACAAAACATGTAGGATGAATGCAGATAAAAAATCTTATAGGATGTCACAAGCGCCAGAATGAAGAATAGATGATTGAGTAAACTTCAAAAATTCTCTTTTTAAAGAATAAGTATAACGAGGTGAAGTCATCGATTTGAAATAACATTTAGCACTTTTGTAAGAACTAAAATTATCCAGATCTTTGGGCAAAGTATTTAATAAATCCTTGATTTGAATAGGGGTCGTTCACTTATGACGTTTTCCAGGAATTTCTATTGTTCTTTTCTTGCTGACCCCCCCCCCCTGGACGTCATAAGTGAACGGCCAAACAGGTGTTTGTTCCATTTTTAAAGCAAAGAAGTTCGAATCAGAAAGTTTGCAGAAGTTTTTTTTTATTGATTCAGCTGCTTTATGAAAAATACAATTTTCTTTTTACCGTTTATTAAAAGAGTCATCATTTATGTGTTGCATAAGTTGGTGAAAGTGCCATGTCTTGTTGTACATCTTGATCCTGGATCTCCACTTCGATAAACAGGTTGATTATTAAAATTACCCCATGAATAATTGCATGTAACCAATGTAGTTGCCCATTGAATTGTTGAATATCTTGCTGAAGCACATCCAATACGAATTACACGATCTTGAACCATTTGAAGAAAATGTCCAATTTGGGGGAATCTGCTTCCACCACAACAATTTGAAATGTCAGATGAATTAGATAGTCGATACTCTTCAAACCATAATTTAGCTGCTCCATTAAGTTGCTGTGCAATCGGATTCCAATCACCCGTTGTACCGTGCATATAAATATTTTGTCCAGCAAATGGAAATTGTGAAGTTGATCTGCATTGATCATGCTCCATTACACATTGCATAACATTCAATTCAGCTAACCATGCAAGTTCAAAGTCCCAGGTCTGAAAATCATCAGTATTTTTATCCCTTATTTAGGAAAAAAATTTGTTTAATTCTTACCACTGCCATCATCCTTTCTGCAGTTGGAAAATTTGGAATACTTCCGCTAGCAATTTGATTACGATAATTGTTGTGAGCATCAAGCAAAATGTTTCTTTCGACAGAGCTTAATGGTACTACAATCGCATCTCGAGGACAGTTGGGATTAAAATCTCCAGTTGTATTACATGCTATATGTCCTGCACATAATGAACAATAACCAGATGCACTACTGATGATATTGAATGAATACAGAACAAAGCAAATAATTAAAATTGATTTCTTCATTTTGACTGAATACTCTCAAATAATTTAATGGTTTGCAATTTTTAGACATTTATAGGCATTGCCAATTTTTATCTCGACAATGATAACGAATTTTTTTTTTGTTCCTGGAAAGGGTAAACATGATGTTTTCTGTAAAAGATAATGTTTACTGAAAATTCGAGGCTAGGAATGTTTATGCTTTTTATTTATGGTGGCACTATTGTCAAAGATTTTAAGTTCTCCGGAAATCCAATAATATTTTTCACTAAATTGGCTTCCAAAAATCCAAAATCGCATATATGGAGAAGAATCAGCTGTATAATTTCAAAGATATTAAGTTTTAAGGTTGAAAAAATAAATTGTCATGGCTGCTCAGCCTTGATAGTACAACAAACGTGCATGTAATAAACAATACTGATAACTTACTGGTCACAAATGTAGACATTTAAATCTTATCATTTTTGCAAGTTACATTTTAGATAAATTCAAGCATTTGAAATATTTTGTTATTTTTTCGCAATTTGTTGAAAATTTTTGGTCAAATAAATATTTTGATAAAACAGCAAAAATTCTCGTTGAGCTAGAATAAAGAGCTGAAGTAAAATAAGCGTTTCCTTTTTTTAATTTTAAGATATTTTTAAAAACAATCAAAATTCAAATTTGACATAAATTTTTATAAACTTTATCATTTCCATTTGCACATGTTGATGCTGCCGGTCCTGCAATGTAAACTGGATACTCAAGAATATTTCCAAAGGAATAATTGCAAGCCATCAAGTCAGTTTTTGTATCTTGATTTGTGAAAATTGCTAAAGCACATCCAATAGCTATAGTTCGATATTGAATCAACTGTGTGAAATGTCCACTGCCATCCTGACAGCATGAACTCATTTGTGTTTGATTAGTTAACTTGTACTCATCAAACCAAGCATTGATGTTATAAACTATTATAGTATTAATATTTGGATATATTGAGTAAATTGTGGTTTCGGCCAAATTTTGCCCAGTATATGGATAATTATCTGTGCTTCTGCAATGATCATGTTTCATCTCGCACTGTCTAACATTTAGTTCTGCAAGTTGCGCGAGCTCAGAATCCCAAGCCTAGAAAAATTCAAATTATAAACTTTATTAATATTTTGCAAAATCACTTACAACTAGTGACATATTTGTAGCACTTTGGAAACCTTGAAGCATTCCACCAGCAAGCTTATTTCGTAACTGATTATGTACAATTACGATCAAGTTCTTCTCTGCTTGTGATAACTCTGCAATAACTGCATCTGATGAACAAGCATTTGCAAAAGTTCCAGTATTATTGCAAGCAATATGGTTCGTACAGAGCTTGCAGTAATCCGTTGCTGCAATAACATTCGTTACGTTCACAAAAATTAATATTAGGAATACTTCCAAAACTTTCATTTCTTTTAGATTTTTTTTTTATTTCTGTGGGAAACTTTGGCTGCACAAAGTCATTTTATACTGTCAACTTATTATTTTGGAAATGATAACTGCATGTTGACATCATTTAATGGGACAGTTTAATCTAAATTACTATAAATTACCATAATTTTAATATTTATTAAAAATTAAATTTTAAAATCGAATTCAACTTTTTTCAAGCTTCAAGCCATTTAAAAATATTTTTTGTGCTGATAAGAAATAAAAGTGTATAAAAACTTATTTCCATCCGGCAGTGCTTATATTACTTTTGTAAATATTTACGTCTCTTTATGAGACATCGTTAAGAGTTATTAAAATTATTTTATTATATTAGAAAATTTTACTATTTGCACAAATTCGTGTAAGTTGAATGTGCTCCATTTATACAGCTTGATGCCGCCGGTCCAGAAATATAAACTGGTGCACCAAGGAGATTTCCAAAAGAATAATTGCATGCAATTAAGTCACATTTCCAATTGAAGCCATATCTAGATATGGCACATCCTATAGCAACAACACGATACTGGATGAGTTGAGTGAAATGTCCACTATTTCCTTGACAGCATGTATTCATTTGAGTTTGATTGGCTGTTTTATACTCATTAAACCAACTCAATACTGAACTTTGAATAGTGTTATTCATTGGTGGATATTGTGAATAAGTTCCAGATCTAGACCACAAATTTTGACCTGCCGACCAAAAAGTTTCTGTTTTTCTGCAGCCATCATGCCGCATTTTACATTGCATTACATTTAGTTCTGCAAAATAAGCAAGTTGTGGATCCCAGACCTAATTTTAAATTTTTTTTTTAACTTAAAAGAAATATTATAATTAAATCTGATTACTTACAACTGCTGACATGTTCGCTGCACTTGAAAACCCTGGAATCATTCCACCAGCTAAAGCATTCCGTAGTTCATTGTGTACATCGACAAATAAATCTTTTTCATTCTCAGATAAGTTTACAATAACGGCATTAGCTGGACATGCAGATCCAAAAGTTCCAGAATTATTGCAAGCAATGTGGTTGGTACAAAGTTTACAGTAGTCTGTTGCACTACTGATGAACTGAATAGTGTTGATTAAAATTAAAACTTTGATAAATAATACCTTCATGTTATCGGTTACTTTACTACTAATCTTCTCTTATTCTGTGTTACTTTTATAATGAAAAAATCTTGCAATTAAGATGAGGGCATCATGACTGATAATTTCTCTAGTATTTGCATGCTGTAAATCTGTTGATAAAATGCAACTATAATAAATTAAGATTTGCGGGATGATTAAACTTATTTTCTTTTTAATATTTTGAATTTATTAAATTCGCTTTAAATTTTACATTTTTGGAAAAATTTTAATTTCCTCAAAACTCATACGTTACACAAGTTTGTATAGATTGGATGTTTTCCATTCTTGCAACTTGATGCAGGTGGTCCAGGAATATAAATTGGTTGACCAACCAAATTACCATAAGAATAATTACAAGCAACTAAAGTGGTTTTTGCATTTCTATTGTTGGGATCCATGTATCTTGCAACAGCACATCCAATTGCGACTACTGAATATTTTGAAAATTGGGTGAAATGACCAGCACTAGCAGGCTTACAACATGATTGGATGAGAGTTTGATTGGTCAATTTATACTCATTAAACCAGCAATTTCCAGCACCAGCGGCAGCAGTTAGAATAGGCATATAAGCAACAGAACTTGATTGAATCCAAAGGTTTTGCCCTGCTGACATGTATTGAGGCGTTCTTCTGCATGCATCATGTTCCATCTTACATTTCTTTACATTCAGCTCTGCAAAATATGCTAGGGTGTCATCCCAAGCCTAGCATGTAAATTAATTTAAATAAAATTCAATCAGTAGAAAATAATTTCATTAAATTACTTACGACAGCAGATATGTTTGCAGCACTAACAAATCCAGGAATTAAGCCACCAGCAAGTTTATTTCGAAGTGTATTATGGTTGGTTAAAAATGCTTCTTTTTCAGCCAGAGTTAAAGGCACAACAATAGCATCGGGTGGACAAATAACTGCAAATGCTCCAGTATGGTTACATGCAATATGCCACTTACAAAGCTTGCAATAGTCTACTTGTCCACTGACGTGGCTAATGATTGTGATAAATAATAAAATTGATACGATTAAAGTTTTCATCTTGAAAAATACTTATTGAATGATAATAAGTCCTAATAATTTTTTGGTTTTTATAGGAATTTTTGAAACATATGCTGTACTTACACGTCATTAGATAAACAACTTTATTAATTATGTTGTAATAAAATTTTCATACATGCTTTATCTATGTTAAAATGTATTAAAGCATTTTTTGGAACAGACTAAGATTTTATTACGCATACTTTGTAAGATAATTTGCAGAAGAGATAAAAGATGGTCAATATTAAAATTAAAATAAACAGGTAGCTGGATATGCAGAGGCCTAGTCAGAAATTTTTAAAGATTGACCTAAAACCACTCTTAGCTGTAAGTATATGATGTAATTTAAGCTTATAAATCACGTGTCGATTATTTTTGATAATTTTTTGATCATCATCGGTTCCGATGACTGCTGAAAAATTATTTTCTTGAGTTATCATATCCTGAATATTGCCTAGAATTAATTTTTTTTTAAATGTGGATCATAAAAACCTTCAAACAATCGAGTTTAATAATATCTAAAATGATACAATCTTTAAAAATATTTACATACCTGGAACTTTTCAATGGTATTTAATTGTTATTGATTAAAAGATCCAAACCTTGTTTTTATATTCATTTACTCAATTACATTATTTTATTAAGTGTAATATTTATTTAAGTAATAGCATGTGTAACAATTAACAAATGTAACAATGAGACATATTTAATGTTATCAATGTTATTGAATGAAAATGTTTGTTTTATTTTTATAGCCTAAAAACGTATGTCGAATATAGCAAGAGTTATGCTTAAAATGTGGTCATCAATTAATTTATCGACATTTTCAGTTATCTTATTATCATGAACAACAAAGCTCAAAAAAATTCTTAAATTACTCATTGCTTCCACCATGGGGCAAAATTGAAAAAAAAAAGGTTAATTCATTTCGAAAATGGGATTCTTTCAATTTAGGTTCTTGGGGTATTTTTTCTTGTAGAGGTCATTAAATTAGACTTGTATGCCAAATTTCAGACCATTTTGTGTTGTTTTTGAGATTCTAGAGCTATTTTCTGCAAATTGTTTTCGGTTCCTTTAAGAACAATTTAAGAGCTTTATTTTAGTGTATTGTAAAAATTTTTAACTTTCCAGTTTTGGTGCTGGTATGGTTGGAAATGTATGAAAATCTTATGAAAAATATCTTCCTTCAAAATAATCTCAAATGAGTTTTTGTCAAATTTTTCACAAATGTGTATGTCAATTTGTGTTAATCCTTTCGAAGTAGATTTTGATTTGGATGAAATCCATTTTATTGCATCCGATGAAATTGAAAATTTTTGAATTTCATATGAATGTAATGGTTAAGTTGATTTCCTATAATCAGAACTTTTTCTAATCCTTTCATTTTTTAGTGAAATTATTTGATGACTGCTTCAAACTGACCAAGATCCTCGATGAGCGTCGGTTGAAATCTAAGATATGATTTTTAAAAAATATTATTTTTTTATGCCTAAGTGTTTACAAAACAATTCAAAAAACAACAAAATTTTAAAACTTTTTTGAACAATGTCCAAAATGATATGACGACTTTAAAGAATGATATGATGGAAACTGATCATGACTGTCATGAATAAACTTAAACTTTTTTTAACAGTAGCACAAAGACATAAAAAATTATTAAATAATTTATTTACATTCAAATTCTTTTTCGTATTATATCTCGTATAAATCCTTAATAATCCTTAACTTATGTTAAGAATCGAATTTTTGCCTTTTTATAAATTAAAGCTTCTAAGTCTTAAATTAAAAAACATGATGAAATAATTAAAAACTGTTTAAAAATACATTTTTGCTCCACTTGATCTAATTCTATAACTGAATCTTGACTTTTATTTGAGTTTTATAATATTCAGTTTTCGCACTCTAATGAATAACGCATGACGCAAAGTAAATGATTATGAAAACATCGAGATTATGTCCAATGTTTGTGATTTTTTTTTTAAATTTTGTAGAATGACCAGATCATTGAAATTTCGCTAATTTGAAGCTACCAAAAAAATTTTGCTTCCATTTTTCGCCTTTTTATGCAAAATAAGTGCAAAATGCCATCTTTGGGTTAGCAGCTTGCAACAGATCTTTGCTTTGATATTAGTGTAGTGTAAAAATACAAAATGAAATAATATAAATTTTTAAAAATTAGAAAATTCAAAATTTATTGAGAAAATTAATTGCATAAACTTGTGAAAACAGAATTCTTTCCTTTGGGGCAAGCAGATGCAGCAGGTCCAGTAGCATAGACATGATTATCAAGAATATTTCCAAATGAATAATTACAAGCTACTAAAGTAGTTTTCCATTTTCCGTTAGTATATCTAGACACTGAACATCCTACTGCAATAGCTCTATCTTGTGCCATTTGTAAGAAATGTCCAATTTTACTAAGTCTCCCGCCACCACAACAATTATCAATATCTGATTGCGATGCAAGCTTATATTCATCAAACCAACTTTGTACAGCGCTTGTCAATGCAGAGTTTACGTCTTTATAACTTCCTGTTGTTGCTGTCCAGAACAAATTTTGTCCCGCTCTTGGAAACTTTTCAGTTGCTCTGCATCCATCATGTTTCATCTCACATTGTTTTACATTAAGTTCAGCAAGAGATGCTAGTTCTGAGTCCCATTTCTTGATTTTAAATTGATATTAACACAATAGATTTTAACAAACCAGATCAAATTCAAACCTGCCCAAAAACATACCAGAATCATCATTTTTGTAGCACTTTTGTATCCAGGAACTTTTCCATTGGCAAGTAAATTTCTGTCAAAATTGTGCGCCTTCAAGATAGTCTCTACATTATTGCTTGATAATTTTACAATTGCTGCATTTTTAGGACACGATGCTGCAAATCTTCCATTATTTTTACATGCAACATGATTTTTACAAAGACTGCAATAGTCAACAGCACGAGTAAGATTTGAAATCTTGAAAATTATTATGAAAGTTAAAACGGAAAACTTCATTTCAAAAGCTTTTGAAGAACTAGAAAAGCTCTTTGAAAACTTTTTAATATTTATAGGCTCAGGTATATCACATAAATTTTGCACGTGCCCACTTGTGTCAATAGAATTTTCCGAGAAAATAAATAATTCAGTTTTATCTACAATTTTTTTTTTGTTTTTTTTTTTTGAAATCACAACTAAGCTGCTAACGTTCCAGCTGTCAATCTAGTAAATAATTCTTTTCATGGAAATTCTTTGTCAGTTCTATTGAAGATTTAATTTTTTAAAAATTCACAGTTATAATGTTTGCCAAACAACGATCAGAAATGCTACTAAATTTGAATACTTTAAAACACGAGTGCTGAAAAAAAAATTATTACTCACAAAAGAATGTAAATTGACTGATTTACTAATATTTTTTTTAAGGCTGACTATCATTTTTTAAAACGGTAAAATTATTTTGTTCAATTTAATTCCGGGTGTCATGTCCAGATTAAGCTTTATCAAAATTTTGTTTCAGAAAGTTGTTTCAAAATTTGCGTTTAAATGATTATAAGATGAGAAAATTCTCTGACACACTTGCGCTAAGATCTCAATACTGTATCGTGATTATTAAATTGCACTGAACTCGATCGTCCTTCAAATACCAGACATATAGCTACCCTAGATTAAACTCATTGTTCTATTATATTTCATTTGAAAAGTTTCATGACTAGGCTGTTCATCATTCATCGTTTTTGCCGATTTTCGGGCAAAATGCGAGATATGTCCCGATTTCAGCTCTGAAAAGGCGAGATACAGCAAATTTTCAAGCGTTTCCATTGAGGATTTTAGGTGGGACATTGTTTAAAAAAGCAGGACTGTCATGCTCAAAAGTGTGCAGTTGCATAGCCTATTCATGATTGTTGATTTAATACATTTTATTATTTCTTATTATCCTCATTGTAATTTTAGGAAAATACTAAAACAAATCATAGTTTTTAAAATCAAATTTTACATGCAGATGCGATGAAGTTTAAAAATGAATAAAAAGTACAAGATTTTAAACTTAGCTAATGGAACCTAGCTTAGAATAAAGTCACAATCAAATTTCCTTAATATTTCAAAATAAAGCTCATCCATTTTCAATTATAGGGTAGAGCCTTAGAAACTAGCACCTGAAATCGTAAAATGTATTAAAGCTTCTGTTCATCTGTTTTATTTACACTACTTACAATTAATTTACTTCCGCAAAATGTTTTTATGTTAGCTATTATTATGAGCTTTAAAATGATAAAGAAATTTTCTTTGAGTCTTTTAAAAATGAGGTCACCCGAAAATCACAAGTCGGTTAGTCGAATATAAATCCCACACCAAGCTGACTCATCTCTGGTATGGAGCTGGATTCGATTTGAGTCCAGCACCATGCCAGAATCATGTTGGCTTTGTGCCGGAATTATTTTCAGATATTCACGACGTTGGGGCGATAGGGGGGGTCTGGTTTTAAACAATCAATCCTCCTTTCTTAATTTTTTCTTCTTTAGAATACTCGCAAAATACTTTTGAAAATCAGAAAAACAAAGTCCTAATTAAATTGTTTAATTTGTAATGAACTAGAAACATTGATAGTTAATCACGCTTATAAAATTAACCTATTCCGAATTTAACTCAATCTACAATCGTGATTCTGAATAAAAAAATTAAAATAATTTTTTTTTCTAAAAAAGCACGTGAATAAGAGTGCTATTAATTTTGCTATAATGTCAACACATACGACTTATAAGCTTTGCTATAATTTTAATTGGAATATGATTTATTACTTCTCTTGCCTACACATCACTTAATCGCTCAAAACAAAATTTATTGAAATAAAAATTGAATGAGAATTCCCAGAAAATTGTTTTTAAATCTCAATACTGCTTTGTACTTTCCAGATGGGAATGAGGCGATTGTTGTTTATAAAGTAGTATCAGTTGGAAGATTCGAAAATAATAATAATATTTAAATGTGCGAATATGCTAACACATTTATAGCATTTATTCTATCAAGTATAAAAGGTGTTGAAATGTCTTGTCTTTAATCAGTTACAGTTCTCACTCTTGACAGAATCGAGATGCAATTACAAATCATTTTAGTTTTGATCGGAACATTGAGCTTGTCATTAGCTCATGAGTTTCGTCTTAGAAACAATTGTCCATTCACAGTATGGCCAGGTCTTTTAGGTAATCCAGGAAAAGAGACACCGTTGAGAGGAGGATTTCAATTGAATAAATACGAATCAAAAACATTCCATGTCGGTCGTGGTTGGGGTGGACGCATTTGGCCAAGAAGAGATTGTGATGGTAATGGGCATTGTGTTAGTGGAGACTGTGGTAAGTTTTTTTGCTGAGTTGAATATTATTTTTTTCATGACTATAACAAAACATGTTGTACACAGGAAACAAAATTGAATGCAATGGAGCCGGTGGAGTTCCGCCAGCTTCTTTAGCGGAATTCACACTTGATGGTTGGGGCGATCAAGATTATTATGATGTATCACTCGTTGACGGATACAATCTACCAATTAAAATCAACTTGATTCCTGGAACATATAGAAAAACAAATAACGGCAAATATGACTGTACACCAGCTGGATGTTATCGCGATCTTAATGAAATTTGTCCAAATGAATTGGCAGTTAAGCAAAATGGATGGACAGTTGCTTGCAAAAGTGCTTGTGCGGCATTCAATACTGATGAATATTGCTGTCGTGGTGCACACAACACTCCACAAACTTGCAAGAGCTCCAACTGGCCTCACAACTATCCAGCTATTTACAAACAAGCTTGTCCTGAAGCTTACAGTTATGCATATGATGATGAGTTGAGTACATTCACTTGTCATGGAAATCCCGAAACTGGTTACGAAGTTGTATTCTGTCCATAAAAATTTCTTGAGACTCTTTTAAGAATACAATTGAAGTACTTCAATTATTCCAGTTTTTGCAAGATCTTAAATTGAATAATTTTATCATTTTGGAATAAATTTGTTTTCTTAAAAAAAATTATTGTTTTAATTTACTCACGTGAGATTAGAAAATTTTCACATTTAAAATATTCAAAATTTAGCAAACTTGATTTCAATTCAATTATTTCTAATTAATAGCTTGAAATTTATCATTACAAAAAAGCAACTAGTTAAAATGAGTTATCATTAAGTTAAAAACCGGTGAAAAAAACCTTATCAGATTTAAATATTTTAATATGTTGATAAATTGAATTTTGAAATTTTTACATTCGGAAGCTTGAAATCAACACAAAAATAAAATGCTAAGAATAATGAATTTATTGTTAATTTTATATTTGTTTGATAAGACTGCCATCATTTTGAATATTAAATGAGTTACCACGTGAGTCAGTGAATCTTTTAGAATTAAATCATGCAATTTTCTATCGCAAGTAAATGGTTTGTGAACAATTTATGATTTGTGATGCATTTCAGCATTTTACTTTGTAATGGCACATTTCGAGATTTTAAATTAAATTTAAAGGTCATTGATTACAATTGATAGCTGCTTTACTGGTCGTAAAAAGGCGACATAAAAATTTGATTGCCAAAGTGGAATATTCCGAAATATCAGGGGTTAGATAGGTTTCCAACCTACCACAAGATAACTAGAAATTATCATAAAATTTAAGTGAAGAAAAACTCCTTAAATAATAATGTGTGAAGGGCCCAACATTTTAGCGGGAGGCACTGCGATTAAATTTGTAAAGAATCTTTTGAACTATACCCTTTAGACCTATAGCTTCTAATGGAATCTGAACCACTTGCAAAACCCCTTAAATGTCAAGAGTCATTTTTGAACGGCATCTTATTTAATTTAATAAAGAAACTCGTCAAAAAAATTATTTAATCAATTTAAATTATTTTAATCAATTAAATAATAAACAGAGTGTCGTCAATTGCGAAAATTAACAACTATCCCAAAATGGAGAGATTCTTTAGAATTCTGATTTTATTCCCAAAGACTTTGCATATGAAACTCCCATCTGTTTTACTGAAATGAAGAAAAATCCATAACTTAAAGTAATGTGATAACAAATTAAATGCAGACAATGATGGATGATACAAAAATTCATGATACATGATAAATATTCAAGAAAGCAATCTCCCTACACAAAAAAAAATACTAAGTTTAATTCATAATGTGGAACAAGAGACTAACAGACCAGCAACTCGCATAAGAAACAATAGGAAGAAAAATTGTATCAAAAAGGAGAATAAGAGAGACAAAGAAGTAGATGAAATAACATGAGCATAGCATATCCATTCTGTAAAGTAAGATACCAAAAAATGATAAATTTGATTGCCGTTTGATATCCATTAATTTAACGACTCAAAAAGCATTATTCAATGTCATCAGGATAGAAATTTGAAATTTTTTTCTTATTTTCCAAAAAAAAAAGTTGATTCCTCTGCTTTTTGCCAGCGTATCACGTTTATTCTTACTTTTCACCCATTTTTCATTGTTTCGAAAAACCAAAGAATGGAGAAGAAAAAAATTATTTTGTGAGTATTTTTTTACATTTCCAAAAATTTCAAACACGAGAAAGTAAAGAACAAGACGCATAGAATCAGATGGCATCATCATCATCATGGAAGCATAATTTTTTGATAACAATAATTAATCATTCTCAAATTTTTACGGTTCTGCTTGTTAGGTTGATGACTTTTTGTTGGTTCTTGTCGGTGGTTTGAGGTGAGGATGAGAAAAGGAATTTTGTGTAATTTTAAATAAAGTTTTTTAGAATGAATAATGGTTTCCAGGAAATTCATAGTGAGGTTACAAATTTGTGAATGAATCGAGTGACAGCAAAACTTTTGAAGGTTTAATTTTGTGTAATTAATTTTTTGTTTTTGTTGGATGGAAAATGCTGCTCTTTTGTAATTAGTAAAACTTCAAGGCAAAGCTTGTGTTAAGTAATTTTACATTAATATTTAATCTGATTGAATCTTAAGAATCGATCACACAGTAGCTAATTGATAAAGTACGTCTAAGACGTATGGTTGGTTTTAGGCTGTCAGCTTAAACAATAAGAGTGTTTTATGGTTCAGTAACCTAGTGACAATTCCAAATAAATAAATATTTTAATTATGATACGATCCTACCTGAATAGCACAAGTCATTTAATCGATAAAATACCTGGCATCAAGCTGATTTAACTCTGGCATGGTGCTGGATTAGATTTGTGTCCAGTAGGTCCAGCAAACAGCACCATGACAGAGTTACACCAGTTTGATTCCGGCTTTCAATTCGATTAACCGACTTGTGCTATTCAGGCTAGTCACAGCTGAGTATCAAGACATGTACCGTAAGAATAGCTCTATAATTGAGTGGATAGACAATAGTCTGCAAAGCTTTTGTCATTATTTTATGAGTTCTTGGATTCGATTCCAAACAGAAATCAATCTCGTAATTATTACACAGACTGTTGCTGATGATTCCAACCAAATTCCAACAAAGCTACATAAAAATTAATTTTCAAAATCCATCGATTTAATCCAATTGACAGAATTTAAAAATGACCCCAAACAAAACATTGATTTTCAGGACATTGACCAATAATTTATTTGTTGTTTACTCAACAGCTCCCCAGTTTATCAAAGCTCACCTACATTTACATTTAGTCACCAACTTTTGAAGTGTCACGAAATCTGTGCGATAAGACTCACGTGTTTACTTATAAATATTTTATTATCATTTTTTCATTTAGTCATCAATAAAGTTTATTTTTTGCTTTCAAAACATTTCCATTCAAAGTAAGCAGCTTTTAAAACAAACATGACTCTTGGAAATATTGTACAAAAAGTTCAAAATAAGAGATTGTTATCGAGTTGTTACTTGATTGCCGGTATCTTACTCGTTAAAATAATATTTAATGGGTGTGAGCGCTTATTTGCTAGGTAAATAAGATTTTAAGGGCATTGAACGAGCGACTGAGCAATATGATGAGAAAACTTAGTGACATTGATCTTAAAGTGCTTTACATGAAAATCAATTCCATCGTAATGACCTTTCCACTGTTGCCAGTTTTTTCACTCTCTCAAAATCCTCTCTTTCAATGTTTTCGTCTCTCACGACTCCTAATGCTGAATGTTTTTATTGACATAAATTGTTTATATTTTACACAGTTGATGCAACATTGTCCAATGTTTTACTGGCTGCAAATTCTTCAATGTTTTCTCCATTACATAAAAACCTTCATTCACAATCTCTTTCTGTTGTGTTTTGAGTCTGTCGAGAGAAAAACATTTCTTCAGTCTTTAGCGCGTATCGGTCGAGAGAAGGTTCATCATCGCCATGACGTGCGGTTAAATAAGAATGAGAATAAAAAATTTTGAATAAGAAAATTACTCTAGAATGAAAACATTTACGAAATAGAATTAATAAAGAATTTTGTTTTGAGTGGATTGATTTGATAAGAGAATTAAAATAATAATAAAGTGAAATGAATTTTTGTTGTGTTCATAAAATTAAATATTCTTGAAAGATGAAATGAATCACTAAATCATTTATGCTGATAAATAAGTAGGAAGTTGAAAATTTTTTAAATTAAAACAAGTGAATATTGAAGATATTTTAAGTGAACTCGAAAAAAAAATATTCAGTGAAGTTCGTGAAAAAAGCAATAAAGGTTTTGTGATTCCTAAACAACATCAAATATAAAAAAAAATTCCAACAAAGTGGATTAAAACTGGATAACATACAACTCGCTCCTTAAAGACACCGAGGACGAGTAGCACGAAACAAAAATCGATTTTTGGGTTGAAAAGTGGATGAGATTTGCCACAAAAAGAAAAATATTATACTGCGAGACATTCTCAAAATACAGAATAAAAAAAAAGTAAGCAAAAGGGAATAAGAAAGCGAAAACTTAAATGGAAAGTAAAGAAAAAGGGCAAAATGCGACATTGTGCGGATTTTTACTTCTCTCTGTTCTGTTTGCTTCTCCTTTTTCGTCTTCATCTTCGTCTTTAACCTGTTTTTACGGTGCTGAATCTTTAAATCTTCTCTGCTGTTTCTCTTCTCAATACACACAATAAAACAGAATAAAAAAAATGTTTTGTTACTTTTAAAGCAGGCAGAATTATTTTATCCATAAAATCGATCCATCGCTGTAGCTTCAACATGAGTCTACTAAAAAGCAATATTGTCGATTAAAAATATTTTTGCGACAATGCTCATCATATGCATGATCTGGCAGATCAGATACTCCTTGCCACTTGATACTTAACTTTATGAAAGCTGCAGATGTGTTACTGTAAATAATATTCATTTCCCCCCTCAACTCTGATCGTGCATCTTTTTTTTTATTTGCTCAGGATGAGTTTATTCTGTCATGTCATGTGTTTATATTAAACATACTTATGGATATGCCTCAAATAAAATCAAATTGTCTGTGTGATGTTTAAATAACGACATTGACGGGCGAGCAAGTTGATGGCTTTTAAGAATTTAAATCTTTCCACTTCTCTGTTCTTTCCGTTCTTTTCGATTGTGAATCATTAAAGATTGTCTCAAAAAAGAATTGTTTGATTCGTTAATTTTTAATGAATAAATATGAGATAAAAATTGGAAATGACAGCTGCTCGTTCAACATTTTTCTTTCAATGTGAAACTTTTTGACTTGTGGATTAATTTACTTAAACAAAATGAAGAACATAAGGAGAAGCAGGATCCTTTCTAATGAACTTTTAGTGCATAATTTGACAAAAATTGAATTGGAAGGGCTTCTCACTTGGAAAATTTTATTATTTTTTATTCTTGTGACATGAGGAAAATTGTCAGACACAACTAAGTTCAGTATTTCTGACACGAAAATAAATTTGAGTTTAATTCTTGCTTATTTTTTGATTTTAAATATTTGGAAAGTGCTGAAGAATTTAAAGAAAAAATTAAAATACCAAAAATTTGCTTTGGTGTCGGTGCAAAATGGTACCTGGGATATCAAGTCTTCTGTCAGTACCAAAGAATGTGTACAACTTTGTGATAATGATTTTAGTTCGATTCTCAATAGTATGATGATCTTTAACTAATTCTTAACAGCATGTCGTTTTGAAAATTTTCTTAATCCTTAAAAAAAATGTCTAGTGAGCAATCCTGAAACTTCCTTTTTTTTCTCATACCAAATAATAAAAGTCTTAAGTGCTTGTTTGTTTTTTGTTGTTAACAAAAATTATTAAATTAGATGAAATGTGTAAATTTGAATGACAGCAGCAAGTGATTGCAGAACAAAATTTTTGAAGCAAATGAACGAAGAAAAAATGTTTAAAATTAACAACAGATGTTTATGTCCACAATTTTGTGTGCATTGTGCATAAAAAATTTGAAAATCATCATTATTGTCATAAATTTATATCTCGTTGCCATATCTTGTATGTGCATTGGATGCACGCGAAATGAGCATTTTGATGATGCAAAAACTTTTTTGTTTCCAATTTTTATGTGCTGTTTTTAAACGACAACAAAAATGTGACAATAAAATAAAATATCCAGAAATAAGGCAGAAAGCAGACACTAAAAGAATGAGCGCGTAATTTCCATATTAATCACATTTTAAATGATTCGCGATTGTAAATATTTGCTTATGAGGCGACATGGATGCCAATTTCGTTCATCTCTTGACTTCTTTATGTGATTCATGATCTTCATAATTTCCATTTTTGTCATTTGAAACTTTTCTGCTAATTTTCTTGTTGTCTTTGCTCGTTTTTTAATTTTTATGGATTGAAGTTTCATTTTTTTCGATCTTTTTGTTCTTGTTGCAAACAAGACACAAAAAAAAAAGATTTCGGGTTTTAAGGCAGAGTTGGAATATATTGCTAAGTTTTAATGGTCATTTATGAATCTATTAAGTGTGTTTATTTACTTAATTTAAAATATGTTCATCCCAAAAAGTTAATTTTAAAATTCAGCAAATTTAACTCAAATCTACAAATTATCCATGCTGTCACATCTCTGGATAAAAATCTCAAAATTGTATTTTTTGTTCAGATCAAAGTGAATCAGAAAGCAAAGACAAAAGCAAAGAATACCAAAAAAAAGTCTGAAGAAATGTGAATGAAAGGTCATTTTTTGTGAGAAAGAAAAAAAAAATGTTTAAAAAGAGGAAAAAAAGAGACTTACAGTCTTTAAAAATCTCAGCATGATGTCCTTCTTTCTGGAAGAATTTCAAGCAATCAAAATTATCCAAAAACAAAAAATTTCTTGAATTTATTTCGCAAAAGACAAATCAAAGATTTTTTTTTGAAGATAATCGAAACAAAAATGCAGATTTTAAAGCTAATGAGATCGTGAAGATATTGGAGTTAAGTTTCAATGGTGATTAAATATTTTTTATTTCTTCCTGCATATTTTACTGTCATGTTAGCTGTTTACCAAAAGTTATGTTATTTTTGTTAATTTTTAACAACCAAAAAACAATTTCTTTTTAAAATATTTCACACAAAAATTTTAATCGGTGTCCAAAAGATCGAAGAAGTTCAATTTAAATAATTTTTTTTATTGCTTGTTCCACTTTTCACAAAATGACCTCCCACTTTTGATCCTCAAGTACTTATTTGACCATAAAATGACTATCAAAAATCTATTGACACACAATTAATGCCATAAAAATAATTGTTTCGAGCTTAAACAGACACAAAAGAAACCAATAAAAATGAAAATTTCCAGTCGTGTTCAGACAGCATTAAAACAAATCGTTGAAAAGACGTAAGGCGCTAAAGTATTCATAGAAAAAAACGGAAGTTGTAAATTTCATTAAGGAACCATTAGCTACCGAGCTACAACAGCTTGTCTTATCCCTATTAAATTTCAATTTCTGAACACGAAAAGTAGCAAAATGAAAGCCGGAAATGAGGAAGGAAGAAATGCGAGAAAAGTCAAGGAATGACAATCGAAATTAAATTTTTCTATAAACTATCCACAAGAAATTCATGCAATGTCATCAGAATCCAACAATGAAGCAAGTTGCATCTTGTTGAGATTTTAACGAGAAATTTTCCGTATGAGGAAAGAGAAAGACACGAAAGAATGTCATGAAGAGGCGACAAAAGGCGACATCAGAGAAATAACCTTTCATTATTGCCAAAGAAAATCAATAAATTTTGTAATTGGATACTTTTCCACTCTAAAACTCTTCAATTTATGTTTCAGTTCTTCTTCTTCTGTCTGCAATAACTTTTTTAAGTTCTTTTCATTGTTATTGTAGCTATTTGGTGTGTAGTGTCTGACTGACGTAAGTCGATATTCAAATAGAGACGAAAGAATTGAAATATTTCCTTCCTTTTCATTTCCTGAGAAATATCACGTCGTGCAGTATTCCCAAGTGGGCAGCTTGATCAACGAAATTCCAGTGACAGATGATTTAATTTCTCGTGTCTCGTCCTCCCTTAACATTGAGAAATAGAAAGAAGAAATTAGTCACAAAAAAGAAAGTAGAAGTGACAAAGGAGAGAGAGAATTTTTCCTAAAATTGTGTTATAGCTTCTATTACTGTTGACTTCTTGATTTTCTGAGAAGGTAAGAAGTCAGACAGCCCGACGAGAGTAAATAGCTGTTAGTAGATTCGGATGTTAATGTCTGAGGAGTTTGGGATTAATTTTTTGCATAATCTGAATTGAGAAATGTCATGAAATGTTTTTTGACGTGAATTTAATGACTTGATGCTTTGTACCTGGAGGATTAAAGGTGGCACATTTATAAAATCCATCAGAGTACTTTCTTACAAATCTCAAATCATCTACGAATGCTTTCTTTCAATTGTACATATTTACTGTTGCTTATTTTAAGGAAAGCATGTCTCTTAAGGACATCATTTCTTTTGTGATGTTGATGTTGACGTACATAAAGAATAAGTGGTAAAATGACGACAGCAACATGTCGTTTTTGCCTTCAAGCTAAAAAGTAAAGTACTTTGAAAGCTTTAGAAATTGTAAATATCAAAGCAAGTTCTATCTGTGTTTTCGCATGTGCGAATATTTTTTTTGAGATTTTAAGAAGATGAAAGATGACGACGACTTTTAATATAAGCGATAGAGATTTAAGATGTTTCAGAATAATATTCTACAATGAGACTTAAAAGTGTTGTGACGCATGTTTCAAAAAATTTAAGAATATGCGATGATTTTTGATGAAATTGATATAAATTGAGCTAGATTGGGCTTCATAAAGTTCTCTAATAAATTATAATCTTAAAAAATAATTTTGACAATCCTTTTAATCTGTCACTTAGTTTTAAACCCCCTTTCACATTCCAAATCTCAAACAAAGCAAAGGAACGACCACATAAAATCAAAATGCTGTCTTCAAAAAAATTTAAAATTTTATTATTTCATGTCAAATTTTTAAGTATTTTCTCCGAAAGCAGTGCTAAATTTATGAGTACAAGACATTTTGTATGTTAATCTTTATGCCCATTTTAAAATCTGTAACTCGATCAACAATGTCGTAAATAACTTGCTATTGGTACACGAAAAAAAATCAACAAGCTAAAAAAGTTGTCATTTTGGGAAATGAATTATAGCCAAGAGATTTGACAACCTCACATTTACACCTCTTATATCTTTGACAATTAAAATTACCTGACAAGTCAAGCAATCTTTACGCCCATAAAAATTGTTGTTCGCTTAAAAATAGACTTTGTGTGCGTATGCTGAATATTTAAAAATGTCTCAAGCACAATCAAAAATAAAAACAATTTTTTACATTTCAATAAAGTATTCAGCACAACAGAAGCCGAAAAACATTCATCATAAACAATATACTGACATCCAGCAGTTTGCAAACAATTCAATTCCCCAACATGACATTATGATTGATTCATTTTTACAGCAACAATAATAA